CATATGAAATGGAACCGTGAGAACCAAGGTATGCAATGAATTTCATTTGTATAGGTCACACAGTGCCATCCACAGAAAAGATTTCATCGTTATGCTTGTGTTGTTCTCGTGAACTTTGCAAAATCATAGCACCTTTATAAACTCACACCAGTGACATATGCCTGACATCTGAATCTATTGACTGCTATTCAGCTGGCTGTAAAGGCCCAAGTTGAAGAGAAGCAACGACTTAAAAAGGAAGCAGAGGAGAGGCGTCGGCAGGAGGAAGCAGAGGAAGAAAAGCGACTTGGCCAGATAAGGATGAATACACAACATCAGTATGAGTTAGAGAGAAATAAACAGAAGAGGAAAGAAGTAAGCATTTGATTGGGCCCATTTCTTGCCAAACAGTGATGTGTTGTCATCAAATTGTGTTACTGAACTATCAGGATGCATTTGTAATACTTGATTTCAGTTTGAAGATGAGGGGCATGGGGCTAGAAATGAACATTTTCAGATGTCTGGTGACTCTCTGTGGAGACTTTGGCCTGAGTTTCCTCACGGAGTATTAGCAAATTAAAAGTTGAGATACAGGCAGAACTGAACAGTACTGAAGATAAAGGGTAAAATCTTTCACTGTTTGATGGTGGGGTTTTGCAGGAAGATGAGGCAGCTAGACACAGAGCCTTGGCAGAGAGTATGCAAGTTGCCTACCTTGAAGCTCAACAGGAAAAACACCAGAAGAGATTGGACAAGCTGGCAAAGATGGGACATGATACCTCTAACCTCAGACGTAGCTGGGACAGTCAGTATTCACATTTCCTCACTTAGTTCTTTATCTGGGATTTATACAATAGTAGTGTATTTTTAACTGCTTTTGCTTGCTTTCGGTGAAAGATCTAAAAAAAAAAACAGTGAACAATCCAAAATGAATTTTCACGTTGGAAAATTTGAACTGAATATAGACAGTTCACAATGCAGTGTGTCACCAAGAGGTTACAACAGAGAAAACAAGTGAAAAAATGTAGCAGGAAATGTCATTTGTAGGCGAATGGGATAACTTGGATCATTTTGTTATTTTGGTTGTCATTGTATGCATTTATGGATTGTTAAGCATGGTTTATTTAGCAGGGGTCAGGTCAACTCTTACGCATGCCAACTTGTACACCGACCAACTCGTACGCGAGCTAACTCGTACACAAGCCAATTCATACACTTACCAACTCGTACTCCAACCAACTCAAATACCAACCAACTTCAAGCAATATACTTGAAGAGGTCTCTCAGAAAAATTATTTGACTTATGGAACCACTTGCAGTGAACCACGATTAGTGTGCATGTGGCGCACACCCTTCTGTGTCGGAAAAACAAGACCTATCACACAGATGTCATGGTTTGCGGAACTGGCAAATGTTTGCCGTTTTCCTAGTTCAGGATTCATTGGTTGAAATAAAAAGTGACCTCCTTTTGACTTTTGTCAAAAATTACGGAGCCAAAAAATTGATAACATTTACTGAGGGGTAGTTCTAACTCACTAAGCTTACAATTATTCACTGAAATTCTGATATATGGGTGAACTAAGTTTATGCCGTGATCGGACTGAAAATTTCTCACAATCCGGAACTAGGAAAACGACGTACTTCAGGGAATGTCATTTCTTTAATAGATGATTGAAATCCAACAGGCATTCGTATCAAACCGTGAAAATTTGTTGCTAGGCCTACAAACTTTTTGTCAAAAAGGAAAGTTTCCACACTATTCACAGTAACAGTATTCCTGCTTTTACTTCCTAGTTGGATGTCACTCAATTTGATTTCAATAGGTCAGTTAGTCTTTACGTTCTCTTTTCTGCCACTGCCGCAGTCAGTCATGGCAGAGGATACTGTTGGCGTCTTTTATTCTTTCATGCACATGAGTAAAGAAACGGAGCTGCAGGTTTTGATGTCTTCATCTGTTGTGTACATGGTCACTGAATCGTCCGGTTTTAATCACTTTTGAAATTGCCTAGTTTAAAGAGTGGGTACCAACAATGGACCAACAACGATGTCGAAGGCTGGCACCACAGGCTGAACGTCAAGGCTGGAAGATCTGGATCAGGGTTGCTGTCGGTTTGCAGCCATCTACATGGTCCAGCCATTTGAAGAATTCCAGCACATAGTCCCCAACAGCTCTTTTCAGAGCCACACATTTTCAAAAGAGATACTTCCTAGCTGCATTACAGAAATTAAGGCTATGAAATAATATACCACTCCAAAAATCTCAAGGAAAAGATTCAAAATCCCAGTTCTGTTTTTTGGTCCAGGTTGCTTGGAAAAATCAAAGAAACTCTACATTTTTCACTGATTACTCTCGCTTCATAAATCTAATTCCCAGCACATCACCACACTTGTATATGAACTAAACTACATGTACACGGTGTACGTGTTGGTTGGCGTACGAGTTGGTCGGTGTACAAGTTGGTATGTATGAGTTGGCATGCGTAAGAGTTGACCAGCATTCATTCAGCATCTGATGCTTTACTTCTGTCACCTAAAAGCAGTCATGTAAATCTGATACTGTTACAAAGACTTCCTCTCTTATCAACAGAAATAATCAATCACACAATATTTCACTATTTGTGTTTGTCATCTTATACTTAACATTCTTGGGATGGGGTGAAAAGGATGGAAGGGGTAAACTCTTTTTCTATGTTCTTCCATCAGTTCCTATACCAAATTGTTTTGCTTTGTGCCGCAGACCAACAGGAAGTTTCTCAACATCAGCAACCTAACTCCCAGCTAGCTTACAAGGCGTCACCCAGGCCAGAACAACCCACAGTGCCTCAGCCTGTGCAGTATTCACCTACAGTGCTTGAACCTGTTGTGATTGATCATAAGACTAGTCATGCAGTCGAGCGTCCTACCATGGTAGATGCATTTACCTCTCCTGTGTATGATCAGGCAGTGCAGACAGGTATTTCTAACTCCATCATTGACCTGGCATAATAAGAGTGTATGTTTGAAGTAAAATAAGAAATAGCTGATGTTTGTTTTGTGGTGTCTATGCATTTTCTTGGTTTTGTCTTGGACTGCAGAAAAAAATGTCTGTGGCATGTTGCTTTCTTTTGACTTTTTTTTAGAGTTTCACTTCCCCCCTCGAGAAAATGTCATGCTCCAAGGAGGCCTGTTGGAGCGAGAACCCAGCGCTCACATTGAGTATAAACCAGAGAGGCAAGAAGCAGGTCATGAATTAAGGGGCAAAGACAAGAAAATTGTGCAAACTCAGATGCACAATGACCAGGGGAGGAAGAGAACTGTCCAGAAAGAAGCTCAAGAGGGAAATACGAGACCTGTGAGACAGACATCAAGGGCATCATCAGCAGGATCGGAGCAGGAATACAGTCAAAAGTCATTCAGAAAGACTGAGAAACCAGTATGGGGAGCCAGTACCAAGAGCAAAAAAGCCCAGCGAAATTCAGACAAGGATCTGACTGTCAGTAAGAGGAAGCGGGAAGAAAGGCGGCAACAGAGGGCAGCAGAGCTTTTAGCAGCACAGGAGCGCAATGCTCCCCGGAGGCTCCTAAAAACAAAGAAACCTACACCTGTAGGAGGCATACAGACTGAGGCAATTCAAGGGTCCAAGCCAATGCAATCAAGAGTCAGAGGTAACTTGGACAGGAATCACAACCAAGAGCACCACCAGGGGAGAAGAAACTCAGTGCAAGACCAGGTTGAGACACAGATGTGGGCAGAAGAAAACAGCAATCTGCCAGATTCACCTCCTCTAAGGAATGGTGACTTTGTGCCCTTCTTACGCACAGAAGAGCCTGTAAGCCTGAGCGAGGACAGCGTACCAGTTACACCAGAGTCTCTCCAAATGCAGAGACAGAGGAAGACAATGAATACAGTCATTACTGATGAGAACGACAGAGGAAGAAGAGAGGACAGATTCAGATTACCAGTACAAAATGAAAGGGTAAGTTTACGTAAGAAACAAATTACCAGTGCTCTCAAAAAGGGGGTTCAGTGTCTTTTGCCTTTGCAATTTTCTTAGAACCAGCTGTCATTACATACACTTAATGTAATGAAGTTCATTGGTTTTTTTTATTCTTACAAGTAGTGATTGACATGCCCCTGAAACCAGCTCTCCTGACTGCCTAGTAGCTGATCACCTGTACAGTTGAACGTCGCTGTAACAAACACTGCTGTACCAAATATTCGGGTATACCCCTTGGCTCCTATATTTTCTTTGCACTTTTACCAAAATTACAAATTTGCTTGAAATTAAAGAAGCATAATTAGATGATGATCAAAACTTGAAATTAAGATGAATTGGAGTCCCAGTCAGCATGAGGCATGATCTGTATCATTTGTGGGAAGCATACATTGCACATGTATGTCCACCTGTCCAAGGGTGGCCATGTAGACCAGCTGCCAAGCACATATATAAAACACTGGCAATTCTGGTGCAGAAAACTTTGCATGATAATCGCTACAAAGCAAGGAGATTTGATCTCAAATATCACCCAAAAAAATGTGTTACCCGCATTTGCTCCAGTGCTGTATGGTTGAGCACGCAAGTTCGCTCTTCGAGTTCTTTGCAACTCGCAGAAGTCTGACAACCGGTCCCCTGGCACGGGGTGATGCATCTGATTGATCAGCTGCACGCCCACGGGCCTTCTTCAAGCTTCAAGCGTCTTGGGCCCATCCATGCACCCCTACTGGCCTTCTGGGGCATGGCAGAGTCTGCCCTCGGGAACACTATTGGGGACTCATAGTTGTGTAGCAGCTTTTCAGCTGGCACTGCTCTGCTTACTGTCCAGTACTTGTAATGCCGCTTGGGCAATCTTAGCGTCATTAGACGCTCCATATGGGCCGTTTTCAAGCACCCAGCAACCTCTGGCCTATCTACGCCCCTCTACTGGCCATCTGGGGCATATGTGAGTCTGCCAAACAGGTGGCACGGGCGACATGCTTTGGCTTGCCGTTCGGTCTGGCAACACCATACTGCAAGGTTCCACGAGCAGTCGTGGCATTGGTTGGTTGTCCCTGCCACTGTACCGCTCACCTACGGGCGCACCTCAGATCTGTGCCCGCCTGTTCTGCCCCAACCTTCAGTCCGGGGCGTGTTTGAACCCGCCCACTACCGAGAGTGTTTATGTTGGGCTGGCTCAGTTATCTACGGTACACAGCACCAAAGATCATATAGTGCCGCAAGATGGAGAACTTCACCGTAAATACATGTAAGACGTTGTAATCACATGGGCGATTATTTATTTCAGCAAGCGATATGCCTGTGCAATGCACATTAAGGCAGCAGGCATGTACATGTGGTGCGCCTGCGCATTACCGTGAACTGCGCAGGCATGTCACTTACTCGAATGGTGCCCATGGTGATCACACTTTTTGGACAGAGTTATCCATCTTGTGCCTGTGGGGCTATGTGATCTTTGCACAGTACTACCTAGCTTATTCTCTGCACTGTAGTTCACATTGTTCCTCTTGATAGTCACAGTGTTTGGCAGTGGCCCTGCCCACTCCATGTTACTCATCACGTAGTCTGTGTAGCGGTTGGTATACCCCTATATTGACCGTATCTGGTGGACATGCATCGGCTGCAGCTGATCAGGGTTAGCCTTCTTGCCTTTCCGGGAATTTCCTTCTCACCTACCCTCCCACTCACCTAATGGCTTCTCATTTGGATATGGTGACCGAGAAAGTGCCAGGCTCGTCCCGCTCTCGGCAATGCTTTAAATAGCACCTAAATCAGTCGCAAATGCGACCAACATTTTGCTAATGTGATCATATTTTCACCATCTAGTCGCCATTTGCAACTTAAGATAGCTTAGAAAATACATACAAATGTATTTGAACAATTTTGAGTATACTTAAAAATCAAAAAAAGCAATGATTATGTACTCAAAGTTCGTTCCGGAAAAGTAGAAATGGCAGCGCAAGTCGCGTTAAGTTGCACCGAGTGCCCTGTACATATACATATACCATACTTTGCATGTACATGTGTCCCGATCACGCGCACAGTTTGGTTGGTTCCCGATCTAAACATACGTTATTGATGCACTTTATACGGACACCAGGGCCATTTTACAAACCACGGAATGGCATGGGCTCCATTTTTTGCTGCTTTTTCCCTGCAACTTAAATGAAATCAGAAATGGAGCTCATGCCGGAAATGTGTCGCTGGGATTTAGATTGTCAGAAATAGTGCAATTCATGCAGCAGGGCGTCCTGCGACACGCTAAAACTACGGACGTCATAACGTCTGTGACTTAAGCCTTGGTGAAAACCCTGATTTCGTGGATTGACCTTATTGGCGCTTGTATGCAAGTTGTGTGGTGGACGTGTGCCGCGCCAGGTCATAATTCTGCGGCATGGATGGACTACATGTGTGTACGTACGTTCATGAATATTCAGCACACGTGATTACTAAATTTACTAAAGTGCTGGCACCTAGATTTTTCCCCCTTAGGAGCCAATGGCTACCAAATACTGTTTTCCTGTTTAAAGGGTTGGCTCTCGGTCCACCCAGGGTTTGGTTTCAGTTACGGTACCTGGGTCGGACTCTATGGTGGCCTCTTCTACTCCTACTGCTCCCCCCCCCCAAAAAAAAACCTTTAGGCTTGCTTCGCCATCAGGGTTTTTGGCCTGCTGCTATTTCTGACCTACTTCCTGCAGACATGCAGCCTGATCCCCCTTACGGCCAACCTTCTTCCCAGCAATCTGACTGAGGGAGTTCCTTAGGGAAGAAACGCAAATCATCTGGGGTTTTGTCTTCCTCACATCATTCTTCTCATCAGAAGAATAAACATTGCACCTTGAAAGGCTCTAGCTCCCCCTCGACCAAGGATATGCTACGTACCCTTTCTGAATCCATTTCAGAACTTATGTCTGATATCTGCCTCCTCCTCCGGCTACTACACATCCGGATCTGGAGCCTTACTCTCTGCCCCGAGCCTGTTTGGGCGATTCTCCGACCGAACCTCAGGGTGTCTCTCACCACCCGGGGCCATCTCAACCCACGATGGAGGACAGTTGTACAGTGGGTTTTGCTTCTGGTCCTGATCTTTCTTCTTATATTTCTGGTTCTGGTCAGTCTCTGGATGAGGATGAGCCGCTTTCAGTGAATGATCTTTCGCCTTCTGAGTCTCGCTTACGTCTTTTACCACGAGAACTCATACAATTCCTGGGACTGCCTACCCTGTCACCTGCTGGCGACAGGGGGCACTGTTCGTTCAAGCGCCGTCCTCGTCATCCCCCCTCTTCCCAGAGTTTCCCTTAATGGTTCTTGTATAGATGCTTTGGACAGACTGGCGAAAGCCAAGCGGTGGAATCCAGGCTACCGTCCATGCCATTCTTTCAAGTTCCCACCGGGTGATTTTGATCAGTATTTCTTGGTGTTAGAATTTCCTGACGCAGCCAGAGATAAGATTTTTCCTAACAGGGAAGGTCTTCCAATGTATTTCAAGATAGGAATCTTCAATGAATGGAGTCAGCTCTTAAAGATGTTGACCTGGCCGCTCACTCGGGCATTCACTACATGTCTTTTCTCCTCCTTACCAAGGTCTTGTCCCGGGCTTGCAAGGAGGGCTCTGATATTTCTCTCGAGTTTGTGACCATGGCCTTTCACTGCCTCGACGATTCCATGCTTACAGAGCTCAAGCAGCTTGCCAGTGTATCTCTTCATGCTACAGCCTCCCGTAGGGAATCGGCTATTCTGGCTATGAACATTCTCCACGAGTCAGTTAATTTTACCTTTAAGAGTCTTCCCCTGTTTGCTAAAGATATCTTTGCGGGCCAGTTTACTTCTTTTCTCGAAAGTGAGGTCAAGCGGATCAACAATGCTTGGAAGATCTCCTTTCATCAGCCGTCTGACTCTTGCCCTCGTGTTTCTCATTTGGCTCCTCCGAGATACTCTTCTACACGGTTATCGCCTCGAGTTCACAAGCGCCCCTGCATCCAATACAGCGTTACTGCCAACTGTGAACCTACTGCAGAAACGGGCTATCATTCCAGCTCTGGCACTCCGTGCCCACATGGGTTTGTGGTCCACCTTTTTTCTAACCCCAAAGAAGGATGTGGGGAAATGGAGACCAATTCTCCATCTAAAGCCACTTAATCAATTCATCCATCCCCGGCAATTCCAGACGGAGACCCTTCGCACAGTTTTTCACTCAATCTACATTCCGGCTTGGGCATCCTCCATAGACCTCAAGGATGCTTATCTTCATTTACCCATTCATACCGACGATTGCCAGTTCCTGCGCTTCTCGTATCAGGATCAAACCTATGAGTTTCACACTCTCCCGTTTGGTCTTTCCACGCACCAAGAGTGTTCACCAGAGTGATCCAAGTGGTGGGGGCTTATCTTCATTGCTCCGACGTTCTCATCTTTCAGTACCTGAATTGCTGGTTAATCCTGGCTATCTCTCAAGAGTCGAGGCTATTTCAGCCACCACAAGGGTCTGTACTCTTACAACCCTTCTCAGGTTTCCAATCAACCACAACAAGTCAAGGACAACTCCGTCGCAGATGCCCACATTTTCAATCTCTGCCGCGGCATGGTTTTTCCTACGGATGGCCCGCAGAGACAATCTGATAAAGTGTGTTGCCCTATTTTAAGTTGGTCATCAGAGAAATGCACAGGCTTGGCTTCAACTTCTTGGTCTCATGGCTAGTCTTGTCGACCTTGTCCCTTGGTGCCAACTCCGCATGAGACCTTTCCAACTCCAACTCCTGTCTCACTTCAGACTGCACAGAGATTCACTGGACCTTCTTGTTCCAGTGCCATCCTTTTTAAGTCACCACCTGACGTGGTGGTCTTCCAAAGCCAATCTCACCACGGGCCTTCCCTTTGCCTCTTCCCTACAGATGCTTTGACCTACGGGTGGGGAGCCAGTCTTCTGATGTATAAGATCTCCGAACAATGGAAACTAGCCTTGCAGGATTCCCACATTCTTCATTCTGTCCTGGTATTTGCCAGGCACATTCCCAGGTTACAGAACGACCTGGCTGATGCTCTCTCCCGGGGCAAGGTTTGCCCGACAGAATGGACTCTTTAACCAGAGGTGGTGCGTGCCCTCTGCCAACCAAACGACAGGCCACACATGGACCTTTTTGCCTCTCACCTGAACACCCAAATCCCGACGTTTTGCACTTGATTTCCACACCCTAAAGCCTAGACGACCGATGCTCTGCGTGTCTCTTGGGAAGGTCTCCTAGCTTATGCCTTTCCCCCTCATTTCACTGATCTCAAGGGTGCTGTCAAAGATAGAGAAAAATGTTGCTAAATTCTTTTCATTGCACCATACTGGCCGAGACAACCTTGGTTTCCTCACTTTGTGAGGCTGTTGGTCGACATTCCATTGTTGCTGCCTCAGCGCCACAACCTGCTTTTTCAACCCAAAACTCTCCCTCTCCATCTGGATCCTCTTCACCTGCACCTAACGTGTTGGATAACCGCTGCCAGAGGTAGACGCTTGTCAAAGAGAAAGATCTATGACAGCTGCATTCAACATTTCAACTCTTTGTGTAGACAACCAGCAAATCCAACCAAAGCAAGTTTTCCCTTGTAACAGAGTTCTTCTTGTATCTCTTCCAGTCTGGCCTCCTTGTTTCAACAATCAGGAACTAGCATTCAATAATTTAGCGAATGGAAGTAATGGACTAAGAAATCGTGCATATGTATTGGTAACCTGGTAGGTATGCAGTAGTACACTCATTCCACTCTAGGTGGGGGGGAGAATTTCACGTTTCTGTATGTTTGACCCTAACCCCCAAGGATGTGTGTAAAATCATATTGAATGCGGAGGCACTGTTGGGGTTAGCTATCTTGCATGTAATTGTTGTTTCCAGTAACATTCTCACACTGAAACATTTTGTGGGACTGGCTGCCACACTTTTGAATGGGCTGAAGTCTGGAATGGCCAGGTGTGTGCTGTGACTGAAAACAGCTATAGCGAATGACCGCTATACCAAACATTTTGTGTAGACCCTGTTGTGTTCATAATAGCAACTTTCCATTGTACATGCAGTTTGTATTGCATCATCTTCTCAGAGAGGATCTAATTGTTTCAAAGATAATTACTCCATGTAGGGGTGGGACATTTACGCATTTAAATGAAAAAAGTTCCAAATTTGATTACAGACTTTCCCAAGCATTTTAACGGAACCGCCCCTTTTAGAGATTTGGCTTTTTGATTCATGTAATCTACCATTCATTTTTATTGTAAACAATGCCTGTAACATACTGTTTTTTCCCTTTTGGCATCCATGTACTTTATGAGAAAAAAGTGGGTTCTACAAAAATAAACATTGCTTGTGTTAGGGGCTACTCAAAATTTTTAATGTTTCTTAAATTTCAACTTTTTTTCAAAATGGTTGGTGGGTCAAGGAAATAAATTGCAAATCAAAGTTCACTTTTTACATTCAAATCCAGAAAAAAAATGTCTGACTTGCCTGAAATACATGTAGTGTGTGCACTGTGCCTGCATTCCAAAAATGCAATCTTTTTCAATGTTGTTTCCATATACAGACAGGTTGACCTTGCCTGTACTTTATTATGCACGTGTGAAACATCATGGGACGAGGTGGTTTTTACTCCTGAACTTGGAAGCGAGGCGCTCACAGCAGTGATCAATAGGCCAGACAAATGTAGCTGGATACCAGGCATATTATATAAACCTACTGGTATACACGGTGAACGCTGAACACCAGTTGCTAATAACAGTGTTCATCACCTTGGATCCAAAACTAACCGGACATCAGCAAACTGCATCCAATCTGTTGGCTAGAGCTAGATCTACGTCTCCGATCCGATAGAAATGCATATGCATGAACGTGGAGACCCAGTTAATTGTAGGCGTAGCCATAGCTTGGGAGATCCATTTCTGAGGGGAAGTTTCTTGAAAGAGCAAAAGCTGATTATGAAAAATAAAATATCACTGAAGCACATGTATCTGTCACCTGCACATTTTATTGCAATTCTAGCCATCATCTTTTCATACTTTGTTGCATTATAGATTTTTATACATATACATGTATTTGAATTTATATCAAATGTATGTACAATGTACGAGATCAAAACATCAATTTTTGTAAATCGAAATTGGGGGTGGGTGAGTGGGTCAAACAAAATTGGGGAAAAAAATTGAAATTTAAAAACACTGAAAATTTTGAGTGGTCCCTTAAATGCCCCAACATAGGTTGGACCATGTGCATTGTTGAAATACATGAATATTATTATCCACATATAAAAACATGAAGGTAGGTAGCGGCTGCCTTTGTAAAGTGTTGGCTAAATGTTGAAACGTTTAAAAGGGTATGGGAAAGTTTTTGTAAATGTTTTTCAAATTAAATGTTCCCACTTTTAATTGCATGGTCTTCTGGTAAAGTCAGTACCATATGCTGCTGGTACTTGGAGAAGACACTAATCTTGTGTACAGAGTTACAGAAAACATGCATCTATCTCAGCACACACACTCATCCCAATTCAACTGCAATTGTATGTCCTTAATTCAACAGTCTAAGTTTTCTCAGCAGGACCCACTGCTAAATCCAGACAGACTGAAGGACTCTGAGCAACGGCAGGAACGTATCCTACAGCAGCTCTCTCACCTCAGACAGGGTCTGATGATGAAGCAACGGGAGATGGAACTTGGTCTAAACAGCTCTAACAACTTGTAGGTTCAATTGGGCCAATCAGAATCTGAAAGGGATGATTTACTTGACTGTAGTGTCAGTTGTGTTGATGAGCTGTGTCTATTGTATACACACAGTCACCATCGTGCTGGTGAGCAAGTTATTGTGTCTACGACCTTTTCCTAGTACATGCATCATCATATGGAACTAACATTTGAAGGATTCTCATGTGAAAAAAAAGACAGGAAGACGTTCACATTACAGTGGCTGAAAAGTGTTTGATATTGGAACAATGTCACTTTGTAGTCAGATTTCATGTGTAAAGGGCTAATAGACACACAGTAATTAAATTACTTGTATATGTAGTATGAAATATGGAACACATTACAAAGTATAGAACACATTGGTTTCCTATGGTAAAATGCTTGTACCTTGAGCAGTTGTTTTAAAGTTGCTACACATCAGACGTGCATTTCAATGAAATTTAGCCAAAATATTTCAACAGTCAAATTTTAAAATCTGAATCTTAGCTATGGATAAAAAAAGTATCTAGCCAGAGCAGATCATGTCATTTGTGCCTTTTCATCTCTCAGTGCGATAGTTACCTGCTCCTGCAGGTTGTCATAACCCTAGCTACATGTCTCTGTTGGGCTGACAGTTATTAGTGTATAGTTTTTGTTCCAAGTTTTCATATTCATTGCCTAAAAGTTTAAAATCTACATTAGACAATAGATCATTTGTACCAGTGCGCGTTTCCAATAAGCACATGGCATGCCAATCCTAAACATCACAGTGAATCAAAGTCGTAAAGAATGCCAATCCAACATAGCTTAACATCAAGGATGAGAGCCAAGGGATTGTAAGTGATATGACATCATCACAGGTACATAAATGCATAGACCACTAGTCTTACGTATGTATAGATGGTAGCGTTAACAATCACTGTCAGTGCACATTACACATAATGCACTTACATAGCCTGTACTTGTATACACATGCTCTCAAAATACTTTCACTGTTTTGCTCTTTTGTCCTGCCATCTGTTTGTTTCAAATTTTGCAGCCGCACTGTTGGCAGGGTTAGGTATATAAGATTTTTTTACAATCAAAAAATAACTCCACCGAATTTTACAGGCTGGCATTCTTCAACTTTGCATACTCCCAATATCAAGGGGTAAATTTGCCCATAGATTTTATGTTAGTTTGACGCCATGCAGATCACAAAATGTTCATATATTTTTATATGCGATCTGGTGGTTTGTGCATTTATGTTTGTGCAGCTAATACAGGGGATTCTTATCGTGACATTAAATTCCTTGTGCTTAATGTTTTCACATTTAAATTTGTTCAACTCTGAAATAATTGTTGAAAAACCTGTACATAGTGTCTGAGAAAAGTTTCCCAGAATACTGTAAAGTATGTGTAAAAAAATGCTTAGTTGGTAAAAGTTATTTGTGAGTTTTAGAGTGTTTATTTCTCACTTCTGTTTTTAAATTAAATATTGCATGCTGTTCTTGTTAGAAGCTTTTTCTAAGGGTAGGTCCTCTTTTGTTTCAGTTTAACATGAAATGAACCAACAAGGTTCAAAGTACATGTAACTGGAATGTTAGTAAATCAATGTGTTCTGCAACAAAAGGAGTACCATTTGATAAAGGTGTGATCAGATGTAAAGCTGAACAAAATTTTGACGGTTGTTAGTGTTTGGCAAATACTCAACCTAAATATCAAAAGGTTTAAAAACAGCAGTTATAATCATTTGGCCTTATTTGCGCTTAGGTTTTAAGGTTTAGGGAAACGTTAGTGTTTAACCTGAGGGCTACTCGGTAACCATTTAGTAAGAATCAATACTTGAAGTTGAATGTCCAACTATTTCCCTACTTGGGTTCGTACAGTGCATGGAAATGAAAGTGAAATCTATCAATTGCAGAACAGAGTGCTATATTTATCGTAATATCCTTCCTCCCATCACTCACAACTGGATTGGGGACTTCCAAGTGTTTACCATCTAAATACTCCCTGTAAGTTCATTTTATTGGTAGAATAAATAGAGAGTGAATTGCTTTAATTAAAAGCAGCATCGGGTCTTGTATTTTACATTCGACATGCTACTGACATGTGTGTTTTTTTTCAGGTACAAATAAAACTTTCAAGTTAAAAACGAATATTTCTAGTGGACCAATTGATGTGAGTAGTACGAATATAGAAGTAATAAGTTTTCATAGATAATTCCCCCTATATTATTGGAACTTTTGTCACGCAGTATTGTAATATATGCCAAACTTTGTATGGATATAAACTTGGAGAATTAATACTATACATTCTTATTTAAAATTTGAACCAAGTTTGAGGAATAACAAGGAAAAACATTACAATTATGTTTTCTTATTAATAATTCAGAAAAGCCAGTAACAAGTTATCAGCATCAAGGAAAATTATACAAAGTGTACTTTATTATTGTAAAAAAAAGCAGCTTCAAAATAAAAACATCTAAAAATGTTACCGGTAATATCCAGCATACCAAAACTGAATTGATAGAAGTATGTGATCCCCACGAAAAGGTGACGGCCAACCGATAACGCGTATAGTTAGTAATAAAGAATCTAAATATGCTGTGAGAGTATCTCCGCCCCAAACTGTTGCAGTTTCACATACAACAATTAAAATGTTATCATGCCAACTGTTGCTATAATCTTCGGTAACTATCAACGTATCCTCATGCTTTATGATCTCTATATACAAGCAACTATCAAAGGACCATTGACAGCTCCAAGACAGCCCCCCGCCACAACCCCCCCCTCCCGAAAAAGGTTGGGTTTTTTCGGTCTTTTAATTTGTAGATAATAAGAAATTGATAATTTTAGGGACACTTTCCTTCCTTCCAAAAGCATGTGTAAAAAGTCCCAAAATTTGGCCTTACGCCACAAGAAGGCCTTATAGGGTTGCATGCAGAAATTTCCAAAATAATTTCCCTACCCACCGAAAAATCCCCCGATTAGTTAGTTCTGGTCCTTGCAAGGGATGTGAATAATCCTAAAATTAAACGAGCTTCACAGAAGTGAAGTTTGATTGGGATTCTGCCGAGCCGTTTAGAGGGGTCCCAATACGACGCTTTTAGCGTCGATCTGCGCACTTCCGCGTTTGAAAACGAGGCTGTATGTGTCAGCTTCAATTCTTAATACAATCAGACGATTGAAAGTGAGGAGTTAAGACACAAAATACCTAAAGGTATGTTAAATTGAGACTTTTCAAGCTGCAAATTTTTGTTGAAGAGTCTTTCAGAATGACTCAACACGTGAAATCCAAAGAAAAAACAATAGCAATGTACCGCGAACATTTTCCTCCATGTCGCGAACTAACGTACCTACGATGGCCGTGTATCTTGTGCAGTGGGCGTGGTTTAAACTGAAGTGGTGTCACACTTACGAACCGCATACTGCATGTACTGCGTTGACTCCGCGGGCGTGCGCGATGAAGTTCAACACAGAGAGACTCAGTTTCGAGGCGGATATGCCCAGACAGCGCTAATATGAAATCCATCTATTACGGCACGGAGGGATTACGTGAGATTGCGCTGACCAAGCCTTCAGAATTCAAAGCATGGTGTCTCATGAACACATCCATGGCTGGTGACCCGACGTAGGTAGCAACTTTACAGAAATAATATCGACTGTAGGGCGGGTGTCACTGAAGATGGCAGGGAGGGCACGTAATCCCTCAGTGCCGTAATATGGCTCGGCAGAATCCCAATCAAACTCCACTTCTGTGAAGCTTGTTTAATTTTAGGATTCTACCTCGCTCAGTATCACGTCACTCCGTGATCACGTGAGATGTTCAAAGATGTGTGTGAATGGGACACCCAAGAAAGGCAAAAGAACGGGCTTGGTCAGCGCAATCTCACGTGATCACGGAGTGACGTGATACTGGGCGAGGTAGAATTTAAGTTATGCCATAAGACAAGAAGTGTGAACGTAAGTATGTGCAGTTAGTACAGGGAGGTCAGGTTCTCTATCCCGATTGATAAATAAAAACCCGCGCATTGGTCACACCTGACAATAACACAGTTCCTTGAAAATGGTCGCATCAGCCTGAGTGATGTATGCGTACGTACAACGCATGCAAATAAGATACACCATAGATTTTGAATTCTTTTACATAAATATTTAAGGTACCCTACGAAAACTTATTACCGCCATACATACCCACCCACCCCCCTCCGATACGCGCCTGAATCATGTGTCTAATAGGGCGCATGCATGAGTTGCTGTCAACTGTATAATAACGCTCCCAGATATTAATCAAGCGGCTTTCTTGAAAGTGAGTAACAGAAGTGGATGCAAAGGAGAAAGTATATACCTGTTGTGCCTCACTCATCTTGTAAGAGCCGAAATTCACCCTTTCCTTGCCCCATTCGCACGTTGGGTTTTACTCCGCCACCACGCACTTAGCGCTGTACAGGGTATCAACCCTGAGGAAAGGGGTTAGTATGCCAAAACCATGAGATATGATTATAATGTATAAGGATCTCCGAAAAGTAAAAGCAGTATTCTTTCTAATGATACCTTGATGGTATCCCTCCTGTCATGCATGACTGAACACCATTGTCTCGAAAATGGGGCATCCGGACCATGGACCAAATTTCACGACTCGCTCTCTGGTCGCGAATATTGCAGTCAATATTGGCGACCAAATGATTCACGACTTGCTCTTCAGTTGCGAATATTGAAGATAATATTTGTGACCAAATTCACGACTCGTATCTTAGGTCGCAAATATCGCCGCGAATTTTTTCCCAGCAAGTCGGGTAGCGAGAGAGGTTGCTCGGCTATAGATACACAGCAATTGCTTTTTAACGTTGTGCCCTTACGCTGTGCCAAAACTGACCAGCCGCATAACGACTTGAGATGAAGCCGAAAATGTTCATCATCGTGCGTGCACGTGAACATTTTATTTCCACCTAGCTTGCTGGGAACAAAAGTCGCGGCTATAATTGCGACTGGAGATACAACAAGTCGTGAATTTGGTCGCAAATATTGACGACAATATTCGCGACTGAAGGGCGAGTCGTGAATTTTGGTGGCAAATATTGACGTCAATATACGCGACCAGACAGCAAGTCGTGAGTGTGGTCGTGAATATTGACGTCAATATTGATGATTGGCGATATCCCTCCAGAGCCACCATACAAAACCAATAGGGGATGTCAAATAGGTTTCATACACTGAAGAGGTGTTTAGTTGCACATCATCGTCTCACGAACCCTTCACACCTAGACATCCCCGATGACAACTTTCTGCGCACGCCACTCGCCTTGCACGTTCCCGTATGATAACATGGTTACAACTATACTACACTATTTTGATATGGTTTACTTGTCTCACTGCATTATACATTAAATTACACCGTATAAATAAATGCTCGTTTAGTACAAAACATACATTTTTGGAAACTTGTTAAAATTAAACATGGAGAAAGGGAAGTTTCTAATGAGGTGAGTTCTCGATAATTCAGTCTGGAGAATTAGATTGAGTGTAGCTTCCATCACTTTCGTCAGTTAGGTGAGCTACATTCGTTACCCTAGATCCACCATCACACCCATCTTCAGCTGGATAGATGCCGAGCACCCCAACGATTGAAGGGCAAGATTTTACCAAGAGGTCACGCCTCTGACAAGAGGAACTAGTTCGGACTGAAGTGCTGACATCCGCTGGTTGTATCGAATTGAAGGTGTTCCATGTTTCTGTGAACTGTGACGAAGCAATGCTGTATCTAGAGGGAGCAAGGAGCTTGTATAAGTCCAGGTTTGACTGGGACATCTTATGGAGCATAGGCCTACCCTGTGTGTGAATGGCTCCACTAAACCAACCGTTTGCACCAGTCGCATCTCCACTCATTGCCCCACTTTTATTCAGATGAGAGACGCCCCGCAGTCCAATTGCTGGACGACGTGGATTCCAGATTGACTCTGACGGAATTACCTTTATCCCAACAGCCCTTTCCACCGACGTATACTCATTCATGCCCCCTGCTTGGAAAATATCACTCTCCTGGTAATGTCTTGCCACCCATTCAGGTTCTCCTTGGCTTTTCGTAGCCCCGTCCACTTCATCGGCTACGTCGCCAATCAAAGGGTGCTGAGCAAACCCGACTTTGTGGGATTGCTGCGTGCTAACTGGCCACGCACGTGCCTGGTCACTTGCCAATGGGCAGTCGGCCTGCTCTACCCTGAGCTCTTGACCACGATGGGTTCCTTGACCCCATTGTGTCCTTGTTCTGGTAAATTCTGCAAACCTTCCATCCTGTATGCGTATTGCTTGAGGTATATCCTTCAAAAATTGCCCCCCAAAGCCACTATGCTGATGGCAAGACGAGTCAGGTAACAGTGCTAAAGATATAAAAAGAGGTTAAAAATCGTATTTATGCAAACATTTTGTTCTCGATAGTTGTGGCAGCGGCAGTGTTTTTGTTTTTTCGAACATGTATGTAAATTAATAGGAGTGTTTAACATTAAGTTTTACATTAGTATGAACTTGCGTTGCTTGCTTTGGTATCTCGAATGACAGTTCATACAAGCCATTTTACTTTATAGGGTCTTTTAGCCTTATCGACAATTACGTCATCTCCATCTTAATAAGGTTTGCTTTGCCACAATACTTTAATCACATGTATTTGAGTTGTTTTTTTTTAATATAAATCAGTAGAAATAGTTGTATAAATCAGTGCAGAGCAACAAAAAAGTATCAATGAATCAGTCATTGTTGAATTAATACGAAACGTCAGGCTCACTTTCGTTATTCATGGTGTTTGGGGCATCCCCGAGGACATCATTGCAAATAATGTCATTTCTTCGTTTACTCCTCCGTCGCTTGTAGAAACAGAGGGTGCAGTAGATGAAAAAGAGCACCGTTACACAAACCACCATACTGACAGCAATACTAATGCGCCAACTCCCAGTGTTATTTTGTTGCAAAGACACGTCTGTCCCAGCCCCAGTACGGATCTTAGTTGGACAGCATGTCGGTGAAGGCGTGGACGTCACGGATGCTTCAGTAGTTCTGACGGGTATGTGCGTGGTAGCTACATATAGAATCACAGTGGTTATAGATGTGGGAGGTTTCTTTGCCAGGGAAAAAAGACGTGTCTCAAGATTACTGTATCATCCCTTCGCTATTTCTTAAATGGCCCTCAACAGAGAACATACAAGGTCTATTTAAGAAACGGATTGTTTTATTCGCTCCCTCTGAATATTGCATCTCGTGATAACCCATATCCTTTAAAGATATATATATTCTTGTATTTTATGTTGCTTCCAAATCAAACTGATAGTACAACATCAAAGTTAGTTTGAGGGTGAGACTCAGATTTATAACCGCAAGAAAAATAAGTGAAACTACATGACATGGTAATGCATGTTTGACATCCTTCCAACCTTAAGTCTGAAACTAGCATTTTGACTACCATACAGCAGTATCAACTAGACGCTTGTTAACTAACTTACCCGGGGGGATGCTAAAATCATGACACGGTGTTATTTTACAAGATCTAACCTCGCTGGTGTGGCATACAGATGGTGTGGTCGGTTTGGCGAGTATCTTTAAAAAGATGAAGAAATCATTTTAATTGTAAACACTGGAACGTTAAAAATCATTATCTCTCTGATGACCCTGTAATGGTTACTAGCGTGAGACTTTATTTAGGCCGTATACACTTAATCTTCTATTCAGAGAAGGTTTACAAAATGAGGAACTGGGTTGCAGCAGCGTAGGGTTGTCACGAACAGGGGCGAGTGGGCGGAGCTGGATGTTAAAGGGTGGCGGGTGCAAGTCACAGTATTACTATACATGTATTATTTTCTGAGTTGTCCCACAACCCCCTCGTTCCACGACCCCCCTTGACTGATAATTTCATTTGTGGCCATGCACGTAATACTTACCGCGTAAATACACGTAGATGTTCCATCCAAATTTCTGCCTGTTTGAAAGCAGAAAAACAGGTGGCCGCTTTTGGCCGCCAGCGAATGAAGAAAAAGTAAAATCTGCTTTTCTTGAAGCAAAAAAGCAGAAAAAATAGAAAAATGCATAACCAAACGATGTTCGTTCTGCTTTTTGAGGTGGCAGAAGAAGAAAAGTCCAAATTGCATGATACCAGAACAAAAATATCTGCTTTTCTACCATTCTGATAGCAGAAGAGCAGATGGCCACTTTTCATCCTCTACACATAGTGTCTTTAATAACGTTGATGTTTCCTCAAACCGGGACAACTATCTAGAATAGCACAGTTCCCAGAGCTCTCTGTTTGATAAAACCACATATTCCACGAGTTTAGGCACTCGTTAATCTGTGTTTTGAGGGTTTTGAACGTAAGGTCGAGGGAGTCGTGGGGTCGAAGGAGTTGTAGAGCAACCCCCATTTTCTTTGGTAAGACTTGAAGATTGGCACAGTGGAGATAGACTAGAGAGAGGGCTTGCGCTAACACCATGTGAATATATCTCTTTTGGAAGAGGTATATGTTCTGATAAGAACAGTTGAGTGTGAACTATACCTCTTCCAAAAGAGATCTATCCACGTGGTGTTACCATAAGCCCCCTCTTTAGTTTAATTATTTTCGTAGTTCTCCGAATTTCAAATGGGGGTGACGATATTTTTACTGATGGGGTGGGGGCGAAGTACCCCTCCCGGCTGTACCATTGTTAAGTTATATCAGAATGCATCAACGTCCTTAATCCTAAAAACCGCAACTCCGCAGAAATGTACGTACGGCTTCAACAACTGGCAAATATAGGGAGCCTATTGTGTGTTTCATGAAATGTATTAACTGCAAACGGTTACACATTGTCACCTGAACACAGTAGTTGCCAGGATTTAAACCAACAAACTCGACCCAACCGATGTATTCACCGTCGTTCTCCCCACGCACAACGTTTCTAGAATTCTGTTGAAATAAACAAGATAATGAAACAGTGTAGGTCACGTTTGTGTAGACCCGCTCATCACAATGTGTTTAATATTTGTTATCGTTACATATTGATTATACATGCTTGTACGGGTGAGGACAGCAAGTAACCCACGATTACGGTGGCCCTGGAGGGACATCGCAAATCGTCAATATTTAGGTCAATATTGATGACCAAATTCACGACTCACTATCTGGTGGCGAGTACTGCCGTCAGTATTTACGACCAAAATTCACGAATTTTTGTCACAACTCGCTCTTTGTTCGCAAATATTGACGACTCGTTCCTTCAGTTACGAATATTGAAGTCAATATTTGCGACCAAATTTACGACTCGTATCTCCGGTCGCATTTTTTTTTTTACTCGCAAGCTAGGCGGAAATGAAGTGTTCATGCGCACGCACAATTAACTACATTTTCAGCTTGATCTCAGTAAGTCGTTATATGACTGGGCAGTTTGGCACAACGTAAGGGCACAACGTTAACAAGCAATTGCTGTGTCTGTATAGTTAAGTAACTTCACTCTCTACCTAGCTCGCTGGAAAAAACAATTCGTGGCAATATTTGCGACTGGAGATGCAACGAATCGTGAACTTTAGTCGTGAATATTGACAACAATATTTGCGACCGGGGAGTGAGTTATGAATTTGGTCGTGAATATTGGCGTCAATATTCACGACCGAAGAGTGGGTCGTAAATTTGGTCGCAAAGATTGACGTCAGTATTGACGATTGGGGATGTCCCTCATGGACCATCATACACGATGTTTTACGCGTCTTTAACTGTTCCATGGTTGTTTGCGCCGCAGAATTTCATGATGGGTGTTTGCCCTTCCCAGCGCCATGTAGGGGCACGACTGAATAAGTCGATACCATGCGTTAGCCGCATGCTCACTTTCTTAATTTCAATTTTAAGGACTTTGTATATACACTCCTTTTATTTTAGCGCCTTAAATATCTTCTCTTCAGCTTTTTGTGTGTGGGCCCATTTACACTTAGTTCAGGTTTGCAATCATTTTTGAGGTTGGGAGCCTTTGACCTTTCCATTGTTTTAGGCCGCCCGCTGACGATAATATCTCGAACTGCGAGTGGAAGAGAGGCTGCAGTGTACCCGTAGGTCTATTACCGTTAAGTTATTCTGATTGACGGACAAAACTCAAACCGAAAGATAAAACAGTGATATTTGCTGAGAGCAACAGAAATTCCAGGACGTCCTTGCCCGTAGTTTCTGGAATATCTACTTGAAAAAGAATATAGGAAGTGTAAGTTGAGTGAGTTTCGCTTCTAGGTTTGTCTTACGGTTACGAATAGATCTAATGTTTCAGGGCAGGGATATTTAATAGCATGCATGGGTATTGGCTTGTGGCCACAATACACAGTCATTTTGTTCAATTGCAATTATTTCGTGCCCAGCCTTAAGCTTATAGACACACTGTTAAGATTTCGTTTTCGTTGGAAAATGGCGCACAGAAGTGACATATTGTCATAAATCGCGATTAATACTTTCATTTATAACAATTCAGTAGAGATCTACTATCTTTCAGTTGGCGATATTTCTTTTAAAAAGGTGATATTTCTGTCAGGAATGTAAATGTTCTATTTTGTGTCCGGTTGCACAGCTCAATAGTGCAGTAATTGAACAAGGTACTTCAAGTTTTCTTCTTCTGACTTGTCTCCGGCAAGAACACGAAAATCCAAATTCGTTAACATCTGAAACTTGTGAAACAATACTTCTTCACGGGTATGCAATCAAATTTAACAATTGTGAATGTTAAAAGATTGTTAAATGTGAAAAAATTGTGAATGTTATAAACAACTTACTTCGATAAGTTAAGTACCGGTATCTTATTCTTCAACCGGGATATTACACCAGACAGCCACAAATGCATATCAGTTCAGCTGGTGATATTTCTTTCAATCGGTTGTATTTCTGTCAGGTATGTGAATGTTCTATTTGAAGGCATGTGGCCTAGTGGTTAGGGTTTGTAGCGCCTGATCACTAGGGCGGGAGTTCGATTCCAGCTGGGGTAGCATATTGTAATTTTGGGCAAGTCCCTTTTACCCCCTGTGTGCCTCTCTTCACCCAGGAGCATTATGGGTACCTGTGAGGGTAGACACGGTGTTATGGTTAGACGTTTGCGCTAAAATGGCAGCATAAGGCAAGTGTTCTCCCCAGGGAGGTGAGATGGTTTAAGGGATGTTCAGACAATGTGAGCCCAATGTGCAGGGATACTGATAATCTGCGCATTTGTATTGTGCTTTCCAGATACTATGCACATTATAAATGCTCTTATTATTATTAATTGGTTGGTACTTGCACTCTTTAACCCAACTTTTTGGACTTGGTTAAGAATAGACCTTATTCAGGGGGAAGCCACTGTTATCTTCTTCCCTCCTTTCTAATACAATCTATTCAATGAAGTGGTGCTTGATTATTTGGGGCTCCAAACCTAACTTTCAGATATTTTATTTTGCTTTGTTTTGTTTGTTTATTTGTTTGTCTGTTTTTTGTGGCTCAAAACATTAGATGTAACCCATCTCAAATCTATTATTCTAAATGGAAACTGGCACGAATCTGTTCTACACTTCTATGTAGTAGTTTTTATTCCCAGGTTCCCAAAATGAAGATGTTTACCACACTTTCAATTCAAAATGGCCGACACACGAATACAGTCTCTTTAATCATGCACGGTGAGGGGCAGTCTGCTAAATTAAGTGAACATTTCTGGCCAGCTTAGCATTAAAAATGCCCCCAACAGTATTTTTGAAAAAGGAGATTGTCTGTCCTCCAAAATGGTGAGATTATGTAAATCTTTGCCGGGATCAGTTCCCTGGGTCATTGGGCTTTCATCTGAGAGCACAATAAAAGTAGCTATAAATAGGTTGAAGAATGGTCCTATGTGCCCGAGAAAATTGAGGGTTGCCACTTAAAAATGGCCGCAAGTAGACTTCGGAAAGCACTTTTAGGGGGGGGGTGATTTTGGTTTGTGGGAATAATTAAAAAGTAATTCGTTAACCCACAAACATTGAACGTTTACGGTGTAACAATGTACCTTGAATAGTATAGCCCCTCGTCGTTTGATCTTAACAATCCACTTTTTCCGCAGGACGTTGTTCTTTGGAAATTGATGAAATCTAATTTCTGGCGATGATCTTCGTTCGTGATTGCTACAACACAGTACCGACAGTACAGCCTCGTTTCCAGTTCCGGTGAATAGCATTTGCATAAATATTAATTAAGAAAAGTCTATCATAAAGTCTAAGTACCTTCCATGGGCTTTCCATCCCATTACTTCATTTCACTCAAAATAGTCGTACCCCGAATTAAAATCCTCCGAATTCACCTCCAATGGTCCTTATACATGTACTGTAAGAATTGCCTGGCTATAAAGTGAGAATCGGAGATCCCAAAATAATGATAAGGTTTGATAACATTTTGGAAGAAACGAGAAATTTCCCCTTCAAACCGGAAACGGTCTTGGTGGTTTCCAATACTGGACTTCGGCTCTGTTTCAGGCTTCAGCAAAAGGACCAAACACTACAGTACTTCAATTTCATTTAAACGCTTTAAGCCAACAATCCAGGATTAGACGAAGTTGAACATTAGAAAACGGCCCTTGTCGTCGAGCTCGATGTCGCCAGTTTGTTCAAATAATAATTTGAACTAAACATTCTGTGACTGGTCCGCCTGCCCGGCGGACCAGTCACAGAAGCATGCCCTGTCGGGCACACGTTCGCGGACGACTGATTCCTGAGCATCGCTTGTCCGGTAACGGCACTCACTTCAAAACTGTACACTCTTTGTATATATAGGCAGTTGTGTGCACATTTGCTAGTGGCTGACCTTTAGCATTTTATCCCCATAAACAGCCATTGGACGAAATGTTTTAATTTTCTCTCTAGAATAAGGTTTTTGATACATTCTCAATCATTCAGTGTTGTTTTGGGTCAAGCAGTGAAAGGTGGGTGTATTATTAAAATAAATTCGAACCAATCAACGTTGTAACCCCCAGAGGAATAACGATGCTACCACGCTGTCCACCCGGCAATAACTCACCTGGTCAACCGACGATGTGTGGAGTCGCTGCATAATTATATTATTAAAACCCACAACGAACAGATTATACCTGGGTTCTGTTTGGGCGCTTCTCGTTCCATTATCTGGACTTTCTTCTAAGAACCCCTCTTGAATAAACTTTAACGCAATGTGACGGGCTTCCTTAATAATATCGTCCTTCGCTCTTGTTATGTTGCTGTGTAAGTCCTTCAGATTTTGCTCTCAACAATTATTTTTGGAGTGTTGATTTTATCAAGTTTTGGTTCAATGGCATTGATAAATTCTTCTCGATATCCCGCTTCGTAAGCTCGAATAAAATCGTTAATTACGTTACTAAAGAAGGCCGTCTTTCCCCCATAATTGTGTTATTGATAGGCCTACTTCAAAATCTAATCGAATGTAAATACTCGCATCGAGATCTTCCCTTCTGTAGGGGGCTTTGGTGGTCCCTGGACAGGTTTCCTCCGGTCTTCTTTCAGCGGGTCTGCCGCTTAAGTGCGTTTACCAGTCGATTTCGGTGGCGTTAGTAATGTTAAAATACCCAGAGTGAAACACTTTTTTTACTGTGAATGTACCAGTAGCCATCTAGCAATTTAAACATCTGCTCGTTTTTAATGAATTAAAAAGTGTGTGTTTGCCCTAGTCTTGTCTTATTTTTAACACCTTTTTAATCAGGGTCAACGTTTTCTTAAAGAAGCAATGTCACTATGTTTTTTTACAGCAACCATTTTGTAAAAGAAATTCTAAAGCTCAAAAAGTAGAAAAGTTATGGAACCAATTTAGTCACTTGACGATCGTTGTAAACAAAGAATTTTTTTGCAGAGTTTCCCAACTTAACCAAGGCGTACAAACTCCCAACCGTAACAACGATCGAAGCTGTAAACCGTTGTATCAAAACCAACTGACTTTTGCGTAGTACTGCA